TCATTCCAGATGCTGCCTCACTAGGGCAGAGTAGAGGGACAGGATCACCTCCTTCAACCTGCTGGTCACACTCTTAATGTACCCCAGGAGACCAGAAAAGCTTTACATTCTGGAAGCAACTCGTGTTGTGATTTTAAGCCCCATGGAAACATCAACCTACATTTTTCAACCCAGACTAAAACTGTAATGGCTCCTTGTCTCATTCTTGTTTCATTTCTGCAGAGACACCAACTCTTTCTGTTTGCAGGTTCTCAGCTCAAAAGTAGCAAAGTTTTAAGAGCTAAAAAAGTTTACAAGCCATTTTTTCTTCCCACACAAACACTTCTGATACCCTGAAAGGTACCTGCTATTTCCTGAAGTGAGTGTAACTGTGTAACCGTAACACTCCAAGTTAGATGGTCATCTGGAGTTGGACCTCCTGCAAAGTGTGTCAGAAATAAGGGCTAAACAAAGGGAATATCTATTATATCCCACATCTGAAAATCAGCTTCACAGAAAATATGCACTAAATGATACATGATAATGGGGAAGGAAACGCCAGCTGCCTCAATGAACAGTCATAGGCAAATCTGGAAAAATAAATTATATAATAATCTTTTCTATTCCCTTTGACCTAAACTCATCTTGACCCAGAACAATAATGCTACTTTCCAAGAGAAAATAACCGAGATGCTGCTATAATCACGATACAGGAGTCCAATGCAAAGTGGTTTGTATTTTCTCTTTGTTGTTAACATTTTCCTTCATCTGGTAAATTTTGTGGCAAAGACGGGAACAGGGTGAGCAACTTCCAGCTGAGGTGGAGAGAAATGCCAATTGCTGTCTCTTGGTGACTGGGAAGAAGCTGCTGAACTTCAACCCAATGTATTGGCTTTCTGCTAAAGATCCAAGAGCACGTGCAATGTTCTGGGAGAGTGAGAGGGCACTTGTGCTTCATTTCAGCTCCCAACTCACTGAACAGCCCAGAATGCAGCCAGACACTTGCTTTTGGACTGGTGGGCACTTTTATCTATTCCCTAGGGATGACTCAAGGGGTAGGTCTGGGTTTCTGCTGTGAGGATGCATGTGTCACTACTTTTGTTGGGTTTCTGAGAGGCTCCCTTGCTTTTGCATTGCTCAGCTCTGTGGGGATGAATAATTAAAAAAAAAAGCCAAATGGAAATCCTCAGGAAACATCCTCATCTAGAAAGAGCAGATGGGTGAGGAAGATTCTCCCTCCTACTCACCAAAGCTGTTGTACACCAGTGTACTGCAAGAGTCTTTCCTGGGTCCTCTCCTAGGTAAGGAGGATGTAAGGACTAGCTCTAACAAAAGCACAGTCAGACCCTACTTAAATGATGGTATGGAAGGAGTCTGCCCATTTTATGTGCTTGTGTATCCCTTCTACATCTCTGTCCATTCCTGTCTTATCCACCTGGAGCTATCAAAGATTGTTCACCAGGTGAGGAGGTTGCAGGTTAAGTATGCCAGCTCTGGATGTCACTGCCATGCAGAAGTGTATGTGTGTGAGCAGGGCTTTGTTTGGCTCATTTCTCCAGACAAATGGAGTTCATGCTAAGAAGCTTGCACAGAATGAATTTATAACTTTGTGGCTTTGCTTATGATTTGTCATCTTTTAAAGTCAAAAGACAACTCTGCACCTTATAAATTTTTTCCATGACCTCTTAGTGCATAAGATATAGAAGCTTAAAAGTGTGGCTGAAGGGAAGAAAAGTGAAATGTGCTCTCACAAGGTGTGTGGTGGTAGAGGCATGTTCTTTATTTCTGTGTCTTTATTCATAAAAATGCAATGCATACTTTCCTATACATTATTATACATAGTTTCTATACTGTGATAAATGAAATTAAAATATCAAAGAGACAAACCCAGAAAAAACCAGACTGGTTGAGACGAGTGGTTCAACCAGTATCCTGTCTCCAGCACTGGTTGGTATCAGATGCTGTAGATAAAAGTAGAAGAAACTGTATAGTAGCCTGTTATGAATTAACATGCCCAGGAGAGAAGTTTCTTCCTGACCCTCATCAGTTAGTGGTTGACTTATATGCCAAAGCATACATTACCATACATGCTCACGTGTTTAGATCTGTCTATACCAAGAAGCATGTGACAAAATGCTAAATCAGACTCCTGGTACTTTCACTTACAGGAAAGTCATTCCGAGGAAAGAATTTTCTTCACCGCAAGAGGCTCACAGAGTACATAACTGGGAGAAGGAAAGGCAGCTGGGATCCACAGCTTGATAAGGGAAAGTGCTTTTACAAACAGCACCTGAAATCTGCACCTTTTGAAGCTATTTGGGGGATTTTGATTATGTATCTTGGTAGTATCTCATGTCTCTGAGTAGCTTCACCTATTTAATTAAGCAAATACACGTGTGTAAGTACTTGAAAAGTGACAAGTTAAACAGATCTCAAGTTAGACATTCCCTTTTTCTGAAAACCATAGGATCAGAAAATACAGGCCAGGAAAGTTCAAGGCAAGGTTGACCATTCTGTATCTCTCCTAACAGCTTTTTTTTTCAACTGGTTCCCAAGAGCCACCACCACAGAGGTTACACATCCCACAGATCTGTCGGTGCTTAGCCTTCTTTACAACAGCATTTCCTAATTAACTTCAGTCTCTTTGGCTTCGCTTTAAGCCCATGTTCTCCTGTCCTACCCACCAGGTACAAGCAACAGATTATCCTTCTTTCTTAAATTGCATTTTCTTTTTTTGTTTGAGAACTGTTTCATTGTTTCCTAACCCCTTTTTGGGCTGAAACACCTTCAGTTATTTCCCTATTTCCTCCATGGCATGTTTTCTAGATCTCTGGATTCTCTTCAAATTATTCCCTGGCTTTTCCAAAGTGCGGTACCCAACGTTGAATAAAGCAATCCAACCAAGATCCCTCAAAGACAGGGGAGTGTGGAAGGATTACTTCACGTGTCTTGAAGGTTATATTCTATTTTGTACAATCCAGACAGTCTTTTTTCCAACACCACACAGTACTGAGACCCTTTTACATTTTCATATATATCCCTTTCCACTTTTTTTTTTACCATTTTCTCAATGCCTGCCAGTGCTCAAATCTAGGATCATAGAATCATAGAATCATAGGATGGTTTGGATTGGAAGGGACCTCAAAGATCATCTAGTTCCAACCCCCCTGCCATCAGCAGGGACACCTTCCACTAGGATACAATAAGATGTTTTCTTCTGCAGTTATAGATGGATGCTGCTGATGATTCAGCATATAAAATAGGCTAATTAATGAGCTTCAGAATAACCACATCCCCCCAGGCTTGTTAATATGCTTGGTTGTACCTAAAGGGATCACATATATCCAAAGTATTAGCAAAAGAGAACTGTGAGATACATCAAAATAATGCAGCAACACTCTGTAAGTGAATTTCAGGGAAAAAAAATAGATTCAGCATGCTATTTTTCTTCATTAAATGTGATGAGCTCATAAAAACTTTTAATTAGTCAGGATGATGTGAATGACTCCTCAGACCTAATTTTAGAAGCCTAAAGTTAGCCAGCATTATTGTCATCTCATCTCTTTCAACAATAAACAGAGAGGGATGAACATCTCCAGGATAAACACATCCTATTGCCTTCAGCTCCCTAAGAAGCCAGAGTAAGGTGGGATCAACTCCCCTGTGAAGACAGAAGAAGGCTTCCAGTAACTGCAGAGAGAGACTCAACAAATAGGCACTTAATTTGAGATAAATCCCATTTTAGGAAACCACAAATTCAGATATAATTAGTTTTAAGTTAGCATGATAATTAAACACAATGCAAATTAAGTGTAATCATCAGGAAAAGAAAGCATGATGAGATATTGCTTATTGAATAATTACAGAGATGTGCAGAGCGTGGAAGTGTCACGTCACAGACAACTTCAAAACATTGACATTTTCCTTTTTGCCAAATTGAGCTGACAGCTGAGGATGTTGAATTTCTCCATGAAGGATCATTTCTACACAGTCATTTTGGATGAATAGAAATATTTAATTTTGACAAAATCACACTGTTTACTCTCCAGATTGACCTTTGTCTTTTCAAGGAAGCGTAATATACTAAAAAGGAGAAGCAAGGCTGACATTCTGAAATGCAAGACATTTTGATTTAAAATATTGCACAGCTCACTCTAAAAACGTGATCTTCCCTCTGAGCCTCAACCTGATTTTGCTGATTCTGATTTCAAACTTGACATCTCATTTTGATTTCTGAACAGTGCAAATGAGTGAGTTTGGCCAGCCCTCCTTGCCATCAGAGCCACGTAACCAAACCTTTGTGCAGCTGATGTGCCGCATACCTCAAGCTGCTGAGGGAGTGGCACTTCTGGGAATGGTTCATGAGTAGGAAATGAGAAAAACTCTTCAGGATCCCACTGTGGATCCCATAGAATTAGGCAGGGTGTAAGCAGGTTTCCAAAGCTACCCAGTTAATACCAGGTTCAGTTATTCTTGCCAGTTCTCCTACAAAGAACAGCCCCACAGATTCACCAATGTAACCCCAGGATGGAGGCTTCATTTGACCTGCTAGAGAAGTGCAATCATAACCAAAGCACAAGCGTTTGTTGTGATGGTGGAGGACTTTCAGAGCCTCCTAGAGAGGCTGGGAGCTGGCCTTCCGAATAAATTAAGCAGCTTTGAAAAAATCTGACCTAGAGGGCACACGATACTGTTTTTGTTCCCTACCTAGATCATTATCTATCTTTGGGTATGTCCAACGTTGGTCCCTGCAGGATAGTAACATTTACAATAAGTCTGCTCAAGTACAGTAGCTGTCTAGTCAACCCAAATGTAAGCTGTTTTCTTGTGCCAATGCTAATCTGTTACTGATACCCAAGTTAACCAGCATGAAGCTCCTTCTAGCAGCTCAGCAATGCATTACAGAGTAGGCGTGCTGTCAGCGAGGTTTATAATATAAATACTTGTGCATATGAGTTCATTGCATTCTAAAAGCTGTGCTGGGAGAATTTGCTGGAAGTTATTTTAATGGCAGTAAAAAGCTAGATTTGGGACTCTATTGATAGCCTACTTAAGGTCACAGCTGCTTTCTGATAAGAAACTTCTTCAGGAGGTTGATTGACGGCTGAATCTTCTGGATCTTCACAACTGGTGATGAGAGCAACTGCACTAAATGACTTTTGGTTAGTATTAAATGACTTGATCTTCAGTGCTGAGGTCTCTGCTTGTTTTTCCCGTGTCTTCTCAGTTCGGTTCCATTCGTGCTCCTTCCGATCCAGTTGCATGGCACTGCAGTGGGGAGCATAAACTTCTGTAGTCTCTTCAAACTGTAAGCAATTCACCTTATAGTATTTTTTCTTTACATGTAAGACATCATTAAACCTATAACCCCAAAGAATCTCTCTGGGGACATATGAACTTCTTGACTGATGGGAAGTTCCTGTTGAATCACCTGTGTAGACAAATGTGACCAAGATTTCAAAGTTGTCTTTGGCCAGAGCTTTCCGGTCTAGACCATACAAGGGGCTCTCACTATCAATTTCATGTACGACTGTCACTGGCGTAATAAGTATGATCTGATCATTTAGCAACTTCAAGTCCTTGTATTCCATTGTCATCCTCCCTTCCTTGTCTTCTTTGTAGCGCAGAAGTTGAGCTCGTACAGAGCCCTCAACCATGTGATTTGGCCGGAAATCACCAATGCGCCACATGAGGCAAAATTTATCATCCCTTAAACCTACTACGGCATAGTAGCTGAAACGAATGGTCTGAGCTCTTTTCCGAGCTGTGGCCATTTTAGCCAAGGCTGCTCCAATTATGAAGGTGTCAATAATGCAGCTTAATACTGACTGTAGGATAACCATGAGGATTGCAACAGAACACTCTTCTGTAACACAGCGGTAACCGTAACCGATGGTCGTTTGGGTTTCAAGGGAGAATAGGAATGCTCCTGTGAAGCTATGGACATTTGCAACACAAGGAGTTATTTCTTCATCATTGAATAAATCTCCGTGTTGGATCGCTATCAGCCAGAAGACTAGTCCAAAGAATAACCAGGAAAGAACATAGGACAATGAGAATATCACAAACATATGGCGCCACTTGATGTCCACCAGTGTGGTAAATATGTCCACTACGTAGCTCTCCCATTCCCCAAAGATGTGTTTGAAGTACACATTGCAGCTGCCATCCTTGTGGAGAAATCGCTTCTGCAATCTTTTCATCCCCATTTCAGGGCTTTCTTGACAAGCGCCTTTGTAACTGATCTTATTTCCCTGTATGTTTACAGGCCTATAGCCACCACTCTGTTCAGTAATCTTTTTCATATCTGCCTTGTGGCCTCAGTTTACAGAACACACTTGTGGTCCCCGGGGCTATTTGTTTTCTTTGTTCATTGGAAATCTATGAAATAAAAGAAAAAGTTTATTTTTGTTTTAATTTCCTATGCCAGAACTCTAACACCAAATCTAAATACATTCACTCTGTGGCTACCATGAGCAATATTTTCTGAAGAGTAGAGACTCTGACATTCATTACACAACATAGCTCAATACCTTAGGCTTGGAAATATGAGGCAGCTAGAAATTCAACCAGTTAGAAATGCCCATATCACTGCTAAAATCTGGTATGTAGATGAAAACAGAAATGATAAACCTTTGTGATGATCCCACTGTGAATATCACTTCTAATGTTCTGGTGAAGTGACCTTCAAATCAGGATGAATTTTCATGAGCAGTCATCAAAACAACATAGAATCACAGAATCATAGAATAGATTAGGTTGGAAAAGACCTCCAAGATCATCAAGTCCAACCCCTGAGGTCACCTCTAAGCCTTCTCTTCTCCAGACTAAACAACCCCAGCTCCCTCAGCCTCTCCTCATAGGACTTGTGCTCAAGTCCCTTCACCAGCCTCGTTGCTCTTCTCTGGACCCGCTCCAGCACCTCAATATCCTTCCTGAACTGAGGGGCCCAGAGCTGAACACAATACTCAAGGTGTGGCCTCACTAACGCAGAGTACAGGGGAAGGATCACTTCCCTGCTCCTGCTGGCCACACTGTTCTTGATGCAGGCCAGGATGCCCTTGGCCTTCTTGGCCACCTGGGCACACTGCTGGCTCATGTTCAGCCTCCTGTCTATCAGCACCCCCAGGTCCCTTTCCACCTGGCTGCTCTCCAGCCACTCTGTGCCCAGCCTGTAGCTCTGCATGAACCCTCTTAAAGTTAACCAATATTTGAGGTAGTTAATTATTTGTTTGCTTCATGTTTGTTTGTTTTCTTCCATTAGAAGAAATGCCCAGGAAAACACTCATTTAGACATAAGACTTCAGTAACATGGGTAGGCAAGTTCAGTTCTAATGTGTTTTAACCAGAAAATATATCAACCACACAATCATTTATCATTACGTGTGTTTCAGTATTGCCCAGAAAAACTTGGTCATGAAATTGAACTTTACTGGACTAGTGTTATAGAGACCTATTTGTTCAATTTGTAGAAAAATATTTAAATTTCAAATGAAAAAGAAAACTCTCTGATGTCCTGGAAACCCTTACAAATAATTTCTTAACATGAAAAAAAAAAATCTGGCTGCCAAAAGGTATTTAAATTTTTATTAATCAGTTTGAAACAAACATGCAGTGTGTTAATTAAATTTATGGAGGACACAAATTTAGGAAGTGATGTGAATTAGGAGATTCCTCTGTCAGATCAGAGGAAAAAAAATGGATGTGTTTGCAGATTGCAACCATATGAACTTCAGCAGTACAAAGTGCTAGGCTATACATTTAGTGACTAATAACAAGAACTTAGGCTAGAAACTGGGTCCTCATCATCTGGAATCCAATAAAAAAGGAAAGACTTAGCTGAAGTAATCAGTGACAGGATTGCTTTTGAATTACTTGTAAGATACAGCACTGAAAAAGGCAATGCTTTTTCCTGCAGGTCTCTAGCTCATTCTACTACATCCCAACCACTAAGGCACAAAACACAGACAGAGAAGTGACAGGGTCCACAACTAGAACAATTTAAAATTTTTTGCCAAATGTCATAGTTCTAACTGAAATTTCTGAAGGAAAACCCAAACAAACTAATATTTTTAAGGAAAAATTGCCATTATTCTTCCAAAAATTGTAAGTTTTCAATGGAAAAATGACAAGTACTTTTCCCATTTTTAAGCTGGTTTCAGCTGACAAAAGTTCAAATGTAGGTTTACAGTGAAGCCAACGTATTCATGGAAAATGAATTTTTAAAGAAAAGTTTCCTAGTGGTACTCTTTTTCCTCAGCTCTTCATTCACTTTGCCTGAGTATAAATGACTGCACAGACTGCAAGGCAGAGAGTCAGGCCCATCGACTGTGATATATATTGGATGGACTAGATTAACAGACTGAGAACTCTTCTCCCATCCAAGGAACAATGACAAGCATGCACAGACACTATTCCAAAAACACTTAAAAGCCAAACAGAGTTTCCATTTCTTTTTTTCTTTTCTTTTCTTTTTTTTTTATTTTATTTAATTTTTTTTTCAGTACAGCAATGAATGTGACATATGGTGTCGTAGTCTCAGAATGTGGCCTTCATTAAAAAAACACAACATTAATGTTTCCAAAAATACTTCTTGGAATATGGTGTTTGGAAACATTCATATGATTTGCTTTACTCATAGCTTTAAACAAACAGTGTAGCCTAGTTTATTGAGGACTCTTGACCTAACATTTTATAAGTCATATTTAACAACAAACAAAAACTGGAAACTGTTGAGTTATTATTTTTTTTTTTAAGAACCTTATAATATGAGGTGTGAAAATGAAACAAATCATAATCAGGAGCCAATATAGTCTTAAATAAAAAACATACTTCAGTTTATACTGTTTTTCTTATTGACTGATTCAAACTAGAGTTCCTTGGAAATACAAACAGCCTGGGACTCTAAAAAGGTTCATGAATCAAAAACTACCGAGTTGAATCAGTCTCTGCTGTTGCCATCAGCAAATCAGCATATTTCAAAAATTGTGTTTTGCTGGCACCAGCTTTAGATTTTATTGGTGCTGGTAAGAATCATGGACTGTCACACATGCAGCTGTGCAGCAAAGTCCACTCTGATTTTAGAGTAGCCTGTGACACACAGGAGATGACTTTGTGAGACATCTCGCAGTAGGAACTCTGACTTTACTTAGGGCCTCTCCTAAATACAGGTTGTAGAAATATATAGTATATATGCTCAAGGATGTCTGTAATGGGTTGTTGACTGCTAGAAACCAAGCCATGTAGTAAGATATTAGACTGGATTTTGCAACACAATCAAAAGTATGTCTGTCATAAGAAAAGGAATGTGATGCAGAGCTTCCTAAACCAGAACCAAATAATCTGAAGCTGGATGGAGTAAAACAGAATCAGTGCAGAGCAATGCTAACAGACGTATATTGCTCTCAGGATCCGAGTTAATCTTCCTCCGTCGTGTTGAAAATTGGATTGCTCAGAGCCATTTGGCATTGCACGATGGAGACGTGCCCCAGGTGACCTAAAATCCCAAATGTGCTTAAAAATTCTGAGGAAACAGCATCCTCAGTCACTCAAAAACGTCTAAAAATGTTGCCCAGTATTTTGGGTGTGCTTAAAGGTAAGCCAAATCTGAATTTTTCCAAGCTACTTCTTCAAGTCTCTTGAGTGCAATAATAATCATGCATCATAATTAATAACTCTTTTACATTGTCTGATGTTGCTCAGAACACTTAAGTCTTAAAAAAAAAAATCCTTCAAAGTTTCTGAATTATGTAAGCCTGTGTTATGATCTGTGCTTCATTCATGGGGACACTTTTAAACAGGCACGTGCTTTTCCTACTCCAAATGAGAGGCAGCGAGGCTGTGGAGCCAGATGTTCATCTCTCACTCTACTGAGACACTCTGCCTTTTGCAGAACACTCTGAAAACTATTATTATTATCATTAAATTTTAAAGGGGAGAAGACCACAGACTTACAATCAGACTTCTGAACTTAAACTTTAGAATCATTGAAAAAAACCTTATTTTTCAAAATGGAAATATTTTACACATCCCTAAGAAAGCCATAGGAATTATATTAAAGGTCCTACTACCTGGTAAAGATTAACAAAGGAGGTGGGGGAGGATTTAAAAACATTCTCTACTCACTAAATCTCATGGATCAGTTGCTGCAAACGTTTCTCAGACGTTGCCAGGAAGCATTTTCACCTTCCTCTAACACTAACACACAAACTCTCACCCTTTTTTGTTTTGCTTTTACTTTCTGTGTTTGGTTTGGGGTTTTTTTTTTCCCTTTATTTCTGGGCAAGTTTGTACATATCAGGAGCCTCCTCTTGCATACTGTTCTGTTGCTCAGAGGAGGAAGTGTGCTGAAATATGCAGGACTTTTGCTAACCATTGTTATAAATGTATTTCCCCTCCAAATAATAATAATAATAAAATTATCAGAGAGAAAAATCAAGCAGTGTATTTAGACAGGATAGCAGGAAGACAGAAATAGAGAAATCTCAAAGATTTCATTAGGGTAAATGGCAGAGAGGGTTCAGAAGTTCTTCTAAAGCATATATGTGTCAGAATCAGAGTTCAGAAAATCAACATTTATTCTTAATTAGCTAAGCCAAGGCTAGGATCTTACTGTGTTGGATACTGAAACATGCTCAGGGAGATAGAGAACTGCTCCAGAGAGCTGTGTTCATTAAGTCTGCATATTCACCTCCCAAACTGGTATCTTTGAAAATCTCACCTCAATTATATATGAAAGAAAGGTAAATAAATTCCTGTATTTCAAAAGTCATAAGGTTGTGCAGTAGCAGAAACAGGAACAAACCCAACACTTACTTATACCCAGTGAAGAGCTACCACAAAGCAAGCACTAGCAGAAGCAAGTCTTTATATCATATTTATCATCTGTCAATTTATATTTGTCAATTTTATCTTGATATTTTGAGTTTAGGTCTCAGTGTTTTATGAGGATAATCCCTATATTACACCTTAACCTGATATCTAATAAATTATTGCTACACCCATTTTATAACTCTATTTTCCCATTATGTAAAGGAGTAGGGGTGAATTTTTGTTCAGTGACAACTTCAGTCAACAGCCTGTTTGTAAAACATTAAGCAAAACAATGTGAAGCTCTTGGTTCCAGAATAATTCTGTTCTGAGATTAAATCAAAAAGAAAACAACTCAAAACCTCCAAATGAAACTGGGTACTCTCACTCTAACCTCACACACATGGAAGTGGATCTCTCTAGCATTGGTTTAGCAATCACCTCAGTTTCCTGCTTCGTTTTGGAAAAGGTCTGAAAGATTTCCAATTTTAGTCAT